ACTAATTATCCTTTTCCATGTTAATCTTTTATTGTTTATATGAATTATAGTCCTTATAATTTATTTTAATTTTAGTTAAGAGTAAAAAGTGCTGTATCTATTTCAAAATTAAACATAAACAATAATATCATATTAATTATCCTTTCTTTCATTTTGGTGTATTTTTTTGGAAATACATACATACAAGTCGATTTCTTTTTCATGACAATCCTTGGTAGTTTATGTGAATTGTAATCCTTGCAGCTTTCTGCATTCTAATTTATTAGTAAAAGTAAAAATTGTTGTATCTGTTACAAAACTAAAAGTAAACAATGATATCATACTAATTATCCTTTTCCATGTTAATCTTTTATTGTTTATATGAATTATAGTCCTTATAATTTATTTTAATTTTAGTTAAGAGTAAAAAGTGCTGTATCTATTTCAAAATTAAACATAAACAATAATATCATATTAATTATCCTTTCTTTCATTTTGGTGTATTTTTTTGGAAATACATACATACAAGTCGATTTCTTTTTCATGACAATCCTTGGTAGTTTATGTGAATTGTAATCCTTGCAGCTTTCTGCATTCTAATTTATTAGTAAAAGTAAAAATTGTTGTATCTGTTACAAAACTAAAAGTAAACAATGATATCATACTAATTATCCTTTTCCATGTTAATCTTTTATTGTTTATATGAATTATAGTCCTTATAATTTATTTTAATTTTAGTTAAGAGTAAAAAGTGCTGTATCTATTTCAAAATTAAACATAAACAATAATATCATATTAATTATCCTTTCTTTCATTTTGGTGTATTTTTTTGGAAATACATACATACAAGTCGATTTCTTTTTCATGACAATCCTTGGTAGTTTATGTGAATTGTAATCCTTGCAGCTTTCTGCATTCTAATTTATTAGTAAAAGTAAAAATTGTTGTATCTGTTACAAAGTTAATAGTAAATAATAATGTCAGACTTATTCTCATGTTTCATGTTAATCCTTTATAGTTTACATGAATTATAGTCCTTGTAATTTTTTTTCATTTTAGTTAAGAGTAAAAATGGTTGCATCTGTTACAAAATTATACATAAACCATAGTATCATGCTAATTATCCTTTCTTTCACTTGGGGTATTTTTTTGGAAATACGTACATACAAGACGATTTTTTTTTCATGATAATCCTTGTTGGTTTATGTAAATTGTAGTCCTTGCAGCTTTTTTGCATTTTAGTTAAGAGTAAAAATGGTTGCATCTGTTACAAAATTTAAAGTAAACAATGAAAATTTCTATATATTTCGTTAAAGACTTATTTTATAATTTATTTGACAGATGGAAAATAGTGGCTTGGCTCTAGCAATTCATCATCATCATAAGGTCGTCAGTCCTAAGACGTTTCGTTAATACAGTTTACTGTTTTATTATTCAAGTCCTTGAATGGTATTTCAAAATTTAATTAATAATTAAAAATCTAGGCATGAGATACAGAGATGGAAACAGGAGTTAAGAAAAGTAGAGGTAGATCTAGAGTAGACTTAGGTCATAAGTTCGTCAGTCCTAAGACTGCTTGGACACGCACCTTCACTCATTCCTATCCTGAGCTAATCTACTGTTCGCAACTAGTTAAGGATGTGGGATGTTCTAGTTCTACTGCGAAAATTAGTTCAGGATAGGAAAGAGTGGTGGTGCGTATCGACCTCATGATGATGATGATGTAGTATTACATTGTATGAACTTAGTTTTTTTTTAATAGGAAAACCCTCAGTATCTATAATTCCCTGTTTAGGTCACTAGAACACAGCTAGTATCTTCATAAGGTAACACTGACTACTGAATATTTTACAAATTTTGAAAACAATAAACAAGAAAATGCAATGGATAAAATGCCTAACTTTTAAATTTTGTCGCACCAACCCTTTAGACGTTGGCTTGAGGCCTTTGGGGTTAGTTGTGTAAATATCTTTCTGCGAAGTTCTGATTTAACATTGTAATTAATTTGTCTTTTTTTTTCAGGGATGAATTCAATGTTTATCGTGGCCCTGGTGGATTGGGACAACAGGTCGACAAAAGTCTACCAGCAGATGAAAATATTGAAAAGTTTTGTTCTTCAAAAACAATCAATAATATCTTCAATTAAAAATTCACCCACCAGTTTTAAGAACTATAATACAAAGGGTACACCTTATCAGCGATCCTTTTGATTCTTCCGGGATTATTATAATCTTCATGAAGAATTTCTTGTAAATCCAGAGGCAGTTCATTTTCATTTTTTGACCCAGTATGCTTATTTCTTCTAAAAGTTTCGACCTCTAAATTTTCAAGAAATGATTTCTGGAATAAAATGAAAAAGTGCTACAAGTTCAACAGTTATTACACAACTAATCCAGAATTGTTTATTCTGATGTCGCGTGGACTAATACATCCACTCAAAAACAGGAAACTAATGGAGTAAAAGGTAAGAAAAAAGGAACTTTTCAGTCGTTTATCTACTTATGATTGGTCATTGCACCCAATTTCACAAATTAATAATATATCTTAAATATTTTATAATTTCAGAAATAAAACANTTAATAGTAAACTAATTGAACAAACATTAACAACAAAAAATTACTCACAATTGTGGCACCAGTCGACAGGACCAACAGGAATCCCAATGAACTTCCTCCATTATTCCAGGTAAGTAAACCAAAAGTAACTGCAACAAAATCACATATTAATATTCAAAAGCAAAAGAATATTTTAGGAATTTCTTTATGTTAAGATAACATTTATTTGAATGCAGATGTAATGTTTATTCAAATTATTTTAGCATGTAATGTATTATCTATTTGAATCTTTATTACTTAGCTGTACTTAGTTTTATATATATAGGTCATAATGTTGTCACTGTAATAATAAACAATAAGGTATTGTGGATTTACTATAGGGAGAGAAAGAAAGTGCGAAAGTCGTTAGAGTGTTTATGAAAAGGAGTAAAAATGTGGAATGAGAAGTATGGAAATGAGGGTTAAACTGGAATTTTAAAAGAGGAAGAGATTGAAAGACTGCGAACTCAAGGGTAGCTGTTAGAACGATTGTGACATTGTACGAGAGTGAATGAGGGATGGTTAAGGGAGATAGTGTGTGTATGAGAGAAAAAGGGTGAATGAGTGTATGCACAAGGAAGAATGAGGGTGCCAAGAGAGGGTATACATATGTGTAACAGAGAATGAAGGTGGTGAGGGTGAGATTGAGCGCGTCTCTTGCTTCCATTCTCACCCTTGCTACCCAGTGATGTTGTGCGTGAACGAATATGGAATAATTATGGAGAAAATGCATTTAAGAAAGGGGAAGAGAGAGGGTATGTGTGTGAGAGAGCATGAGGGTGATAAGGGAGGGAATTGAAGCGTCTTTCGCTTTTATTCTCACCCTTATTGCCCAGTGAGGTTGTATGAGAGTGAATGAGGGTAAATGAAGGATGATTAGGGAGAAAGAGGACGCATGAAGAAGTGGGATGTATGTCAGAGAGAATGAGGGTGATAAGGGAGAGAATGGAAGCGTCTTTCGCTCATTCTCACCTTTATTTCCCAGTGAGATTGTATGAGAGTGAATGGAGGGTAAATGAGAGATGGTTAGGGAGAGAATGGACGTATGAAAGGGGAAGAGAGAGAGGGTATGTGTGTGAGAGAGAATGAGTGTTGTAAGGGTGAGAATGAAAGCGTTTATCGCTTCCATTATCACTCCTACAACTCCCACTCTCTTTCTCACATGTATATTTCTCTTTCTTCTCCCTTTAATACGTACATCCTCACCCTAATGATCCCTCATTTACTTCGTGAGAGGGTGAATGAGAGTATGAATGAGGGAGTGAATGAGAGAGTGAATGAGGGAATGAATGAGGGGAGGGGATACAACAAAACGCAATAAAAGACATATAAACCTTATTCACGTTTTTTATTTATTTAAAAAAAAAGGACAAAAATGAATTTTTCACGTCTACCAGGTTTAGTAAGTTACAAATTCGTGATTCGACGACCGTCCGGGGCTTTGCCCAACGGTTGGTTATAAGACGACGACCAACCGGGGCTTCGCCCAACGGCTGGTGCTTCCGAATTTGAACTAAGAAGTCCCCAGTGCACGAAATTTGGAAGTTCCGTGATACCGAGTTTTGGGAATGTGGAAATTTCGAAATTTCGACATTTCCAAAACTCGGTATCTCGGAAATTCCAAGATCCCGAGCATTGGAGACCTCGAAGTTCGAATTCGGTCGCACCAGGACACTCCCGACCCGGCACACGCGAATGCTGGATCCCCTAGAAGGATGATGAAGACCCATGTCCTGTAGTCCCCGGAAGGATGGTGAAAGTCCATGCCCAGATGCATCAACTCCCGATGATGGTGGAGGTCTCACTGAAAAAAGACCATAATTATTGTATAAATAAATAGAAAACATAAATAAAGGGTTAAAATTAATATGACTTTATTATGTAGCTCTAATATGAAGAAAAGACAGTTACCTAGTTAAACTAAACATATTAATGTGTTAACATTTTTAAATACCTGTGAAAAATACAAAGAAATGATTACAAGTCATTTAAAAGGATGATATTGAAAATTAAAAGTTAGATTAGAAAGGAACTCTATTAATAAATGAGATTGAAGTTAAAAAAAAGTTTTCATTTAATCCAATAAATTCAAGAATATGTAAGAAATAAGAAGAATAATTGATATAAACAAAAGTAATGAAGGTAAATAAAAGATAAGTTATGTTACAATAAGAAATTGTGTTAATTTATTCTTCTCAGCTAGATTTACAAAGAATAAAGGAAAATAACTATCACACACGATTAAAAAAATGATGTTATCAAAAATGTAAGTGCAGTTAATATGCCAAAATGAAAGAAAGGAGAACTACAATCCGTATAAACTAGTAAAGACTCTAATTTAATAAAGAGACCGTTTTTCTTAATAAAAAAATGAAATTAAAGAAAGCATGTACATTATGTGATCACTGGTCACTTGGTGAAACAAATTAATAATAATAGGATAAAGATTTTAAAACACTTGATTTAAATTTCACAATTTCTATTTTAAAACTTGACGATATTGTTTTGGCTGTTACGACGATTTCAAAAGAGTACATGGGATACTAAATTTGTACAAATTTGCACAGTCAAGTATTAAAATACGAATTGTTAAAGTTGTACCAAGTGTTTAATATCCCATATCCTATTAAAGAAATCCCTGGTCTCTTAATTAATAGAGATATACATACTACTACTAAACGAAACAAAACAAAAGTAAACAATAAAAATCGCTCACCGTTGTGGCTTCACTCGGCAGAACCAACAGGAACATCCCAAGGAACTTCTTCCATTATTCCAGAAAGGTAAACCAGAAGTAACTGCAACAAAATCAAATATTAATATTCAAAAGCAATATCTTTTTTCAACGTTTAAGTTTAGTTTTGCAATAGATAAAATAATTTCAACTTTTAATAGTAAACTAAACCGTAAAAATATAATCAATCGAAGGACAATAATCCTTATAAACCAGTAAAGACTCTAATATGATAATGAAACTGATTTTTTTTTAATAAACAAGAAATTCGTAATAGTTTCTTAATTACTGGAGATTTAAATATTACTTGATAGAAAACAAAACAGAAATTAACAACAAAAAATTACTCACAGTTGTTGCTTCAGTCGGCAGGACCAACAGGAATCCCAATGAACTTCTTCCATTATCCCAGAAAAGTAAACCAAAAGTAACTGCAACAAAATCAAATATTAATATTCAAAAGCAATATCTTTTTTTGTGGATCCCTAGTGGGAACATATCTACAACATTTTACACGAAAACTGCTATTTTCTACAAGAAATTGCTAAAACATTTTACAACATTTAAGGATTACCTAGTTTACGAATTCAACGAGCATCAGAGTTGCTATACCATCCAGATAGAGAGAGTGAGCATTCGGATAGAAGATACGCTCGAATAATTAAACATTTTTATATATAAAATTCCTTATTTTACACTAAAGCTCGCTCTATTTAATATAGAAAAATACCCCATGTTTTTCTGGAATAAAGTGTTCTAGAAATGAAACGATTTTCAAAATCCTCACCTCTCTCGGCATTCATTACATACCCTAGAAATACATACCACTTCATTTATTTAATATAATTGATTAAACCCTTAGTAACCTTTTCACAAATTTGACCAAACTCGACAATTGTTTCGACAGTAATCTGTCATTATTAACAATAAGAGTATATTAATATTAATCACTAAATACGTTAAGTTTTCCTAGACAAAAACATCTATTTTCAATCATACCACCCTGCTGGAAATATATCTAGAATAAACAAAAATTTTCAACAATTAACAACAGCTTTCGATGCGAAAACATTAACGTTCAATTGGAAAAGGTAATTTGTTGTAGTCCCTCATAGAATACTACAACACCCAACGACAACTTTTAACGTCTCTTATAAAAATGTAAAAAATCGTAGTCATAATCCAAATACGTAGCTCCTTGTAGTACCTCATAAAAAAATACTACAACTTTCCATGAAACAATGAATAAAAATAAGAAAAAAGAAAATTCGCCTGAATAAAAAGAAGAAGAGTACATCTTTTGACAAAATGTACACGCAATCGTTCAAGCCCTTGTAGTTGCGGATTGCATGGCTTTAACTATCTTAACTTACAAAGACTTACTATATGTGCGAAAACACAACTTTTTATACAAAAACAGCTCTAATTTTCACTATGCAGGAAAATGTGCTTCAGTTATTAAGAAACTTCTTATCTTCTTCGACAAAGGGTACATTATAAATCATCAAAAAGACAGACAGTATAAAACATGAAAACCCCGCTTGTCAACAGCTCCCACTTTAAAAGAGCGAACTGTAGTTATATGCCTATACGAAATCCAACAAACAATTTTTATTGCTTATAAACAATGTGACAGACATAATTTTCCAATTTAAAGTTATTCTTTATATATTAAGTTTTTAAGTTGTTTTGATAATAAATATTAATTTTAAATTACGCATGCTTTCTAGTATCTAAGTGTTAATCAAAAACATACACACCACGTTAATATAGGTAACTTCCGCTGACTACATTAGCAATAAATAAATTATCTTTGAAAAAACTCTCTGTCTAACCGAAAAGCAAACACCTAAAATAGAGTAATTATGATTTTTGTAAAAAAAGGCAAGACATCTTAGTAGCCAGTATTCACTCTTACCAGTTAAACCTCGACTACCTACGTACTTCAACTACTTACGAACGTAGCTGAAATACGTAGGCACTCGAAGAACAACTGATAGAGAGAACCCTAAACTACCCAGATGCTAGTAATATAGGCACGCCGCCAGCATACCCCAAAGCCACTTCGTCCCGTGTAGTATACCTATGGCCACTCGGCATACGTAGAGTACAATAGCTTTGGAATACACCGTATTACTATTAGTGTAACCAACTAGTCGTTCCTTTATACCTCTCTCGCGGATAATAAGTGTCACGAGCGTTAACTTTCAAACACTTTTATCCTTTCGATTATATGAAATTTTAAACTTTTAATCCTGTAGATATTAATCAAATGGCAAATTGAAGTAATTTGTAGAATAATTTTTACCTACCACACGTAAAAATTTAAAAGGTAATGATTTTTAAAATAAACAAATTTCCGTTACTCNCCTGTAGATATTAATCTAATGGCAAATTGAAGTAATTTGTAGAATAATTTTTACCTACCACACGTAAAACTTTAAAAGGTAATGATTTTTAACAAATTTCCGTTACTCAAATCAAATAATAAATTTGAATGAGCCTATATAATAACCTAAACATGTTAAAATACAATTTGTTATACAAATAACAATTTGTAAAGTTGTAAAATAAATACCATTTGAGCCAAAACTATTGTCCTGAAAAAATCAAAATAAAATTACTTGTGCTATTTGTGAGACTACTATTCATTCATTCATAAATTTCTATTTTTTATCATAAAAGGACTCGAGTTCACCCCAAGGAAGAAAAAAATCATCAAATTAAATGGAAACTTAAAAAACAATGTAATAACTCACCGATTTGCATTTGTACCACAAACAACTACTGAGATACTGGTATTCCAAATTGCTTTTAACCGTAATCTTAATTAAACATAATGATGTCTTATGTTTATCTATCGGTACAAATTTTCCATTAATAACAACACGTTAAGCTTCACTAAATAAGTTAATTTTTTAACAAATCCGCAATTTTCACAAAGTTTTTACACATGTCACTTCTAAGAAAGACCATAAAATTCTTACAGATTTTCAGAAATATTAACGCGCTCAATATTGTTATCGCTGATATATTATTTATTAACAGCCGACACGACAACGTTAAACTAATGTGGAATTTTCAAACATACCTACTACATAAAAGGAGTGAGCATTCGGACAGAAAAAGATGGGTAGTACGCTCGATTAGCAAAAATATACAATATTCACAAAATTCATTATTTAAAAGCGAAAATTACGTAAAAATGTCACGCATAAAGAAACACAACTTAATTTTCGAATTGTTAAACTATGATTATGACGGTTCAAGAGGGTGAAGGTAATGTAGCAATGCATGACGAAAATCGTCCAGACAATAGTTTTGGACTGCAATTTAAAATAAAGCATATTTCATTGTTAAAACCCCAGAACTGCATAACAATGTTAAACATAAAAGCGCAACTGAATTTTCAAACTGTTAAACTATGATTTCGATGGTTCAAGAGGGTGAAAGCAATGTGGAAATGTATGAAGAATAATGTTCTTACAACCTGTTTTGGACTGCAGTTTTAATAAAGCAAATTTCGTTATTAAAACCCGAAAATTACGTAATAATGACAAACATAAAAAAGCGCACCTGAATTTTCGACTTTGACAATCATTTTGAAAGGTCTTAAAAGACAATGTAATACATGAAGATGTATGAATAACATACTGACTGAGTTTTTGACTGGAGTGTAAATTAAAGCAAATTTCATTGTTAAAACATCAAAATTACGAAGAAATGTTAAACATAAAAAAGCGCAACTGAAATTTCGACCTGTTAAACAATTATTTTAAAAGACGTTAAAGGTGAAGAATATATCAAAAAATGTGGGAAATACGCGCAGAAATACACCTAGTTATGCGAAATTCTCTTTCCCCATAACATTAAACGGTACAGATAAAAAAACTGCAAGTACCTACGTTTAATTTTACCAGAAATTACGTTTCATTTTTTAAAACAAATTATGAATTATCTAGTTTACGAATTCAACGAGCATCAGAGTTGCTATACCGTGCAGATAGAGAGAGCGAGCATTCGGATAGAAGATACGCTCGAATAATTAAACATTTTTATATATAAAATTCCTTATTTTACACGAAAGCTCATTGTATTTAATATAGAAAAATACCCCATGTTTTTCTGGAATAAAGTGTTCTAGAAATGAAACGATTTTCAAAATCCTCACCTCTCTCGGCGTTCATTACATACCCTTGAAATACACCTAAATATGCTAATTTCACTTTCTCCATAACATTTAACAGTACAGATAAAAAAACTGCAAGTACGTTTAATTTGACCAGAAATTACGTTTCATTTTTTAAAACAAATTATGAATTATCTAGTTTACGAATTCAACGAGCATCAGAGTTGCTATACCGTGCAGATAGAGAGAGC